AAATAGGAGCATTGTCAACACAACCTGATTTGCTAACCAAATTCATGATAATAGGAAATCACTAGAATGTTAATCTACATAGACAATTCAGTACTCTTTTTTTAATGTTATTCCATAGTGTTGAAAGTAATGATTGTGTAAGTTGAAACATATTTACTTGGCATGTGAAGAGACCATGAGCAACATTCGATTTTTACATTCCCTTCATACAGCAAAGCAGAACTCAGACCGAAGGAACAAATGGACATGCAGAACCTGCTCTGTCACCGATTCTGACAAATATCCTCATGATATGAGTGTGCAGCCTTTCAAGGTATTTCACATGTCAAGGCTAGGTTACGGACTACACTTGGGGAGCTAGAAAAGTAATCCCGTTTCTGTTCAAATTGCATTAAACATCCAAATCACATTTGGTTAGAAGTCACTAAAATATTAAAAATAGGAGATGAAAGTGCTGTGAATTATCCACTGACCAGTAAATAACCAGCAGTCGGATAATAGTACCTCTTCCCTCAAAAGCAATAATAATAATGTTCTATTTCCCACCTGGTTTACTTGTTAACGCTCTGTGCCTAAGTCTATATATATATATATATTAACAAAATGTATGGCAGGGGTTACTTAATCTACAGAGAGAGAAACAAAGAAAGAACAAATGTTTCCCTGGATTTGTTTTTCTCTGATTCCCCAGGACTTTCTCTGGAAGCTTAATCATTCCAAATTCATTCACTGAATCCCTGCCATTGAGGAGTGTATTGGATAGACTCGGAGGAAACAAAGCTTTCTAAGGTCGAGCATTTCTGTATTCCAGTCAAATCAGGCCGTCTGAATCAATCCTGTCACTGTCTCTAAGCACCTTTTGAAATTGTATACCCAGCAACTGGGCACAGCCTATACAAATTGTTCCTGGAGCATTTCATATGGCATTCACAACAAATATTCCCAGGCAAAATAATCTCATTGGGTATGGAAATCAGTAACTTCATGTTTCACTATTTATGACCAGAACAGTACCAATTACTTGTACAGTGGTACATCTTGGGGCTCGTTGGATTTGGTAAAATAGCAAATGATCTACAAATATGTTTTGGAAATCATGCATTTGCATGCAACAGAAATAACCAAAAAGTTACTTAAAACCTAAAGGCCATTTATTGGTTCCCATACGGGAAAGGCAGCAATGTTTCTCAAGCACAGCTTGATCCAGGACTCAGAAACCTGCAGAATCCACGTCATGACTCCATGACCTCACGCATAGTTCAACCTGGAGCTTTAAATGGTCTTCACGGGCCCTTCCTGCAGGGTGCAGCTCTTCAAGCCTCAGAGAGTCCTTGCTGACCAAGGCCTTCTAGAACTAGTTACAATCCAGTGAAAATGAGATACTTTGATTGTTTTAAATCAGAATAATCCAAATCAATGTGAACAAATGTGGGGAGGGTTGGTTGCCAAAGGAAATTTGGAGGTGTGTCACCAAGAAAAATGGAAGTGGGCTTGGGGGAGTGATAAAAACCTTTATCTATTACAAAGGGATACACATTAGTTCCATTAATGGGGGCATCCTCCCCCCCCTTTATGCTCTAGTTATCTAGCTGTGAGTCTTTTCTGCTGGTTATATATCCTGCTGGAGATGGTCTGTTTGAGGGTAGAGATCATGTCTCACTTTTCTCTCTTTCCCTCTCCTTTGGGCATGGTGTTCAGTGGGTGAGAATGAAAGGATTATTATTAAATGAATAGATGGATGGGTGAAGACTTAACAAATGGACAAGTACAATATGGACAAAGCTTGGTTGAAAATTTTGTAATAAAATAGAGAACCATGGGCAGATTAAAGTCACACTTAGAAAGGTAATACAGTAGGGCTTTGCTCAGCCCAGCTTGTGTTCCTGCAAATACTTCCAGCCAAAAGCAGCAAATACTTCCAGCCAAAGGCAGTCTACACCCACACGGCTCTCGGATCAACCTCTACTCAGGGGCCCCAGGATTTTAGGGAAATATAAATGAACATAGAGATCATTCAGTCCCAGAATATTTGTAGAGTATATTGGCTTTATGACCTACCCCGCAGCACTGCAGTCAGCTAAATACTGGATGAAATCCCTCTCAGGGATATAAGCTGAGCAGAAAAGTAAGAAAAGCTAAAATTCTGTACTTTACCATAGCTTCCCCAATGGTTCCCCATCCTAACACCCTCCCTCATCTCTTCGTAAAGGGGCACCTGTGAGTCTATGTTAGAGGGGGTAAGGGGAGTGGCTAATGAGAAAAACAAAGAAAATTGCTTCCTTCTGCAGCTTTTCACCTTTGCCCCTGAAGTAATGTTGTTCTTCTCTCTCTGGTGGACGTCCTTCTCATCTTTTTATGTCCCAATTTAGTCAGGACCAGACTCCTTGGCAATGACGACAGACCCGTGACACCCTCCCTAATCCTACCTATCTAGGTATAAACCATTTTGAGAGAAATGTCTATTTTCTCTTTCTCATACCTATAACCCTGTTATAACCTTATTATAACCCTGTTGACAGGGGTTCTGTCATCTAGCACTAATAAAAAAATGAAACACCACTATTTTAAAAAATTAGCTGGGAATAAAAAGAAAAGGCAAATGATTTTAGTGCTGTCAGAAACATCTTTTTACCAGTAAATTGGGTTTAAGCAATTTTTCGAGAGTACTTAGAATTTTTGGCAACACTTTTAGTCCTGCGCGCAATTATTTATAACAGAATTCAATGTACAAACCTAGCAATAATTTTTAATACCCAGCAACTCAGTAACTCTTTTCAATTTCAAGAAATGCACCAAGAACTGTGTCACGGATGACCTCCTCCTTTGATGACTATGTCTAATCGTGTTCTTATCTTATATCCTATGATAGGTGGATGAAGAGTATTTTCCTTTATTTTGTATCCCAACCCCAGCACTCTGCACTATGTTCAGGCCCACAAACTAACTGAACCTGAGAAGGGAATCTGAGACCCTTTACAACTGCCATCGCTGCCAGGGAGCTTTCTGAAGTCTGGTTAGGGAGTCTAAGATCTTTGTAACTTACCAATTATCAATATTTTACCTTCATTGTCTATATTAAAATAACTAAGATTGCTATTTTGGGGTAAATGGAAGTTTTCACCCAGAATCTCCAGAATTTACCATTGGTATGTAAATGAACTTGGCCTTAGCCATTTACATACCAATGGACATTTACCACAGCAGCCCTTCTGGTCCGTAGGGGGCAAGGGGTGGAAGGAAAACGGTCCTTCTCTTCTCCCCTCCTGTTCCTCCTGCCTAGCTGGTCTGGTGTTTGCCAGTCACCAGGGACCCATCCACGGAGTCCCTCCCAGAACGGGTGGGCAGGGGAGGAGGGTGCGTGTGTGGTCAGACGGGAGGGAGGGTGCCGGGCCCGGCTAGCTGTGAGAAATAAAACCTCTTAACCCAACCTGTCCTTCCTGCTGGCTTACTTCAGTTTCACTGGATTCGTTGGGAACCTTTCCCGGGAGGGGCACCCCCTTACTCTAAGAGCTACAGCCATATTTTTAAATCGCTTTCAGAACTGTGATTTTCGAAAGTAATACTAACTAAAGAAAGTATTTATAACCAATTAATAACTGATTTGAGAAAACAACCTAGTTTACAATTCAAGGATCAACTTTAAAGGTCATGCTTAAAATCAGGCAGGTCTTTAAAAATATTGTGATTTCCAGATACATCATTTATTCAGGTTTAGTTATGATCCAAATGATATCCTCTGTAATCATTTTTTCTTCAAAGAGTATTGTCATCAAATTCCTTTGCTGACACAGCATTTTCTAAACAAAGTCAACATTAGTGCAGAACGTTCTCATGTGGCCCCATGTCTGAAAGTCAATATGTATACACTATTTTTAATCATCTCCATCACCAATTTTTGAATCAAAATTGACATGACAATATTACTAATAGTGAAAGAGAGAATACTCTAGAAGATGAGTAAAGTCCTACTGTCACAAAATGCCAATAATTTATAATTTGTTTTTTACTTTTATTGGTTTAGCAGAGAAGTATAAAATTTCCTCACATTTGCTGTATCTAACATGATGCTCAATAAATAGTGATATTGAATAAATGTCAATAGAATATATTTAAAAGGTTTGAATGAAAGAAACTGGTATAATTTATAACCTTACAATATTCTTCTTCCATAGCAATAACAAGGAACTCATATAACATCATTCTCAATTTTTAGTTTGCATCTCAGAAATTCTGCAGTCTGCTCAAACGATCTGCATTTTTAACAAAAACTCCGGGAGATGCACTTTGACAAACACTGACCTATGTATGTTATATGGTTACAAACATTGCAAATCATTTAGAAATATGGGTCAAATGTAACATGTGACACAATCAGATTGGATTGCATTTTATCAAGATCTTAGCTTATTAATTATGAGAACAAGTACTGGCATCAGTTATAGATTGGGTTTTATTAGGGTTTTACCTTTCAATGGCTCTTCTTATAAAAATTAATCTACTTACATAGAATGACCATTACAGTGCAAGAATCATATGCAGCTTTTTAGAGTTTGAATCAAAATATACATGAAATAATCTAAACAGAGAATTTAGTATCATTCTGACTTTACCATCAGTCTCTCTCACCTAGGAAATCAGTGAGTGAAACCATTTGCCAGACAAAAACCAAAAGACAGCTCTTGAGTGGAGCTGTTTTATAGCGTCCTCCTCGTTATCACACTGTGGTCCCATTTCAGTGACATTATTTGTGTCATGCTCCATCTGTACTGAATCGACCTTTTTCACAGATCAGGACTCTTGGCATAAGTTACACAAAATTCTCAATTTCTCCATTATTCTTTCCCATTTGCACAGGTATGGCCAATTTTCTTTTTAACATCTTCCGGGTTTTGTTAGAACATGTGCTGGTGACATGCCAATGCTGATAATTCAGTCGTCCCAGTTCTGCATAGAGCATCTCCAGTTTGGCCTGTCTCCTGGAGGGGACAATGACAGTCGAGATGGCTGTGGAGCATCTGCCTTGGGTGGGAAGGAACAACTAATGGGATGAGTATGATTGAGACAAAGGCCCCTCTCACGAGGAAATAAAGGAATTAGGACATCTCCTTAGTCAAATATTACCACTTGAACTTCCAGCTTATGGTTTTATCATTTTACCATGTTATGCCCAGATTGACAAAAATACTTTTCCAACTTAAAAAGGCTCTGATGAAAAATAGGGTCCCTGGTCGAATTTATGTGCACCAGAAAGCCGAAGTCTGAGTGATGTACAAGCTTATTCTAAATAGTTCTTGATTTGAAAATTTAAGGAAGAACAATCTGAGGGTGGTCTCTTTTGACAATATCCAGGGTGTGTGTGTGTAATTGGATTCTTGCCAGGGGGCTGAACAAAGACTGAAATCTAGAAGTAATTATTAAAATTAAATGAGTTATTAAAATTAAATAAAAAATAAGTGTTATTTTTCTTCCTAAGCATATCAGTATCTTGAGCATTATGATTACTAGAATGTATACAGTATTTTAATTAAATGTTTGTATTTATTAGTTAGATGATAAGTAATCATCTGGATGAAGTTTTAGCAATGAAGGAAGTGCCCAGAGGGAATTAGGTCTGATACCTTCATTTTATGACTAGAAAAAGGGAAGGAACCAAAAGATTAAGTTACCTAGTAAGTATCACATCTGGGTATTTAACTACCGCAGCTGGGACATCTGGGATGAGAACCACCTTTTTTAATTTCAAGGGTGGTGTTCTTTCATCTTTGTTTTGACTTACAGTCACAGATACAAATACATGTTTTGATTTTTTGTTTGAAAAACAAAGTGAGGCAAAATCATGTAACCTTTCTTTTTCGATATACAGTAAAAATCCTTTCTCCTTGATAAGAGCTAGCTGGCTCTTAATTCTACTTTTGAAGTTCAACACCACAGACTTTTGTATATTAATATATATAAAATTATTGGACCTCATTGTAGAGACAAAAGACAAATTTGGTGATAAAGCATGAGGGACAGTTAACTGCACCTGAACCAGCTGAAACGAGTTAATTCACTCCTGTGAGGTGGCTGGGCTCTAAAGTTGCCCTCCAATGACCCAGAGCTCCGCGGCTCATCCCCTGATGCAGACCCTCCCGCAGAGAACCTGCCCTTGCCTGCCTGTTAACTCAGGTTAAAGAATCAGATGTGGCAAAGGTGACACTGTGCCCCCGTTCCCAGCTGTCTTTGAAGGGGACTGACAACTCCTGTTCCCTCCCTCCTGGAACACTGCTGTTTGGGGATCCGTCGGCCACCTTGCGAGCGGCTCAGCTCCCGCGCTGGGTGAGCCACGGCGGTGGCCACGCAGAGGGCGCGGTGATTTTCAGTTACAAAACAGCAACATCAAAACCTTTGCTGTTAGTATCTCGGGGAAAGGCAGGGCAGCGTGTTCCACCAAAGGAAGTCATGACAAGGAGGAGAAGAAGGAACTGAGTAATTGGAGAGTCTGTTGAAGTCAGAGTCCTTAACACCCTTCCCAGAGAAACAGGAGGGACACCCATCAACAAAGACACAGGCTACAAAACGTGAACACAAGAAGAGGGGTTAAGAATTCTAAAGGAGAACTAATGAAAGAAAATGACCAAGTTCTTATGAATGAAAAAGATTGTTTAAATAAAAGAAACCACAGCAGTGGTTTTGTGTTGAATATAAAACTGGATACAATTTGAAGCATAAACTGCTGAGTTGGAATTGAGAATTCAACTAAATACGAAAAGAGAGGAATCTTTTTCCAAAACTAATTGAAGGCATGGAGGCTACACCCACGAGATCTAACATATCTCTAATAGAGAGCAGGTTGGAGAGGTGATTTTTGAATTTTTTAATAATGACTCAGAGTTTCTCAGATCAGAAAGTTACAAGACTTCATTTTGGAAAAGTCAGCAAGGATACATGTCAAATGAAAGTAACAGTAAAGATAACAGCAGACACAAGGAAATAATCTAAAGAAGATGGGAAAATACATACATCAGCTAGAGAGAAAAAGCAGGTGATCACCAAAAAATAAGTGAGATGGATATCAGAATTCTTAGCAACACCAGAATCTTTAAGATTTCTATGTTTATCTATCCATCTGTATCTAACTTCCTAAAATCTATCAATCTCTGTCTCTATCCATGCCTTAGCTATCATCTGTTTATGTATCTATCTGTGATCTGCCCATCTATGTATATTTAGAAACAAGGTGCATTTAATTTCTGGACAAAATATATTGGGAGATGAAAAAGGAATATCAAGGAATATAAAAAATAACATTGTCTTATTTGGAAAGAGGTTAGAGATAATGATTTGTTTTAGCATACTTGCAATAAATATTTAAATGTAAAATACATATTAAATATTTAAGAGTAACCACAAAAATAATAGATATAAAATGTATAATTTCCAAACCACTAAAGAAAAACATTAATAACAAAACCAAAAAAATTTTAAAGGAAAAATAGAAGCACACTATCAATCTGTCTGAGGCTAAGAGAAAAAGTAGAAACTAACAGGGTATTTGATAAATAGAAAAGAGAAATACATAAAATGACAATAAATTCAAATATATTGTAATAAGAATAAGTAATAAAGATAAACTCCCCTAATAAAGACAGTGACTAATCAGTTAGATAAAAACACCAACTATAATATCAACAGGAGAAACAAATAAAACATATGCTATCTCCAAGTGACAAATGAACCAAAATAATACCAAATCATTGAGAAAAAGAAGATCTAAATTGATACACGAAATACACACGAAACAGCTATTAGAACAGACTATTTGAATAGAGAAAATTTGAATGAAATTATAGATGATATAGACAGATACAAAAATACACAGACAAAAAATGGAAATACATCTATCATTTTTTTAGTTACTAATTCTGAATATGACTGAGAGTTCCTTATTTGCATTTTTCTAAGTTTATTAAAATTAAAAACATCACTTAATCATGTTTGTGTCTCTAATCAGTAAAAAGGTGATATTTTTAGATATCTATTTATGTTTAAATAGGTTCAAACTCCTCCATTTATACCGTCTCAGATCTGGAAAAGCTCTGTTTAGGATAAAATAATGTGAGTGAGAAGCAGAAGACTTTTGCACATATTAGTTTATAATGTTGTATCACTGAACGCTAACGCTACCATAAGCAGAGTGAGGCTAATTCTTCCTTGGTCTGAGGATCAGCACATAGGGGAGGAAGATTTGATGACGGAATATTCATGGCTTTTAAATAACCCAGCCAGTCTCTCCCTTTCTACTTCTGCCATACAACCAAATTATCCCTCATTCTAAAAAGTAATGCAAGAAAAGAAAAAATGTAATAATTTTTTAATCCAAAGTGAAGTATCTTGATGAGATTCTCCAAATCTAACGCCATGAGGTTCCTGCACATGTTGACCCCATAAACTAATGATGTGTGGAAAGCAGACACTGTCTCTCTACTGCTCCCAGGTGAATGGATGGGGTCTATGCAGTTCTTCCAACACAGTTGAAAAGTTCACTCATGACTGATCTTCTTAGCAACCCCAGGTCTATTCAGAGGCTTCAGATACTCATTTCTCTGGGGTCATTAACAAGTCCCTTGCCCAGGGAAAATAGGCCCTACAGGAGTCATTTCACTGTGGCTTAGGGGCAACTAATAACACAGACAATGAAAATAAATTCAAAGTACATTTCTAGTGGTGTGCTGAAGTCAGGTAGCATTGGGTTTCCAGATCAGAATGTGTGCATCCTTGAAAATGTTTACACCAGACAAATTGGCCAGTGCTACATATTGGAGCTTGTTTTGTTTTTAGTAGGGGGAATGTAGCTGTTAGACATCCCCAGCATACCACTGGTATGCTTGTGGGCCACAAATTCTTGTTTTATGTTATTGGAAAATCTAGATGTCTTTTAAGAAATTAAATATTTTATATACTTGTATAGTTTAATTAACACATATTAATGAATTATTATTTATTAATTGACCTGTGTTTTTAATTGAATGTAGAACTTCTAATAACTTAAATTTAAATAATTAGTTTTAATGCTAGTGAAGAGAAAGAATGGAGAACAATTGTGTATCAGAATCTTTTTTTAAACAGAGCATCATTTAAAATCATTATGCTATGAAGGACTGATGAACCTATTTATGCATAGTCAGTCTTCCATATAGTCTTAAAATAATTATAATATTTTGTCTTCTTGATGGTTTGACCCCCTTATCAGTAAATAATTCCTCTCTTTATCCCTGATGCCTTCCTTGTTCTGAAGTCTTCTTAGTTGGAAATTAAAATAGCCATTTTATCTTTCTCCTACTAATTTTGATATGCTGTATCTTTCTCTATCCATTTACTTTTAATCTTTCTGTGTCTTTAGTGTGAAGTGAGCTCTGTGTAGACTACATGTAATTCAGTCTGCTTTTTCAAGCACTCTAGCAAGCTCTGACTTTTCATTGGTATATTTAAGCCATTTATATTTAAAATGATTGCTCATATAGTTGGATTAATATGTACTATGTAAATGTTCTCCATTTGTTGCAATTGTTCTTTAGTACTTCTTTCTCCTCTTTTCATGTCTTCTTTGGTCTTAGTCAAGTATTTCATGATTCCTTTTTCTCTCTTAGTGTATCAATTATACTTCTTTTTTAAAAAAAAGTTTAGTAGTTGCACTAGAGTAATCCAAGTAATCTAAATCAACTTTCAAATGATAATTTATAGATAGTTCAGGTATCTTAGACCAGTATTTCCAATTCTTCCTTTCCATCTATTATAAGATTGCTGTCCTTCATTTCACTTGTCTACAGAGTATAATCACCCAATACATGTCACTATTATTCATTTGAATAAAGTTATTTATAAGAGCCATTAAGAAAAAGAAAAATAAGATACATTATTTTACCTTCCTTTATCCCTTCTTCAACACTATTCTTTTATGTAGACCCAAGTTTTTGCCACATATCATTTTCCTTCACCCTGAAGAACATTCAGTGTTTCTCACAGACATTTCTGATGTTGAATTTCTTCAATTTTTGCTTATCTGAGAAACCCTTTATTTCTCCTTCACTTCTGAAGGATAATCTCACTGGGTATAGAATTCTAGGTTGATACTTTCATTTTCTTTTAACACTTTAAATAGCTTGCTCCGGTCTCTTTTGGTTTACATGGTCACTGATGAGAAGTGCAATGTAATTTTTATCCTGTTGCTCTGGACCCCAGAGTCATGGCAGCCCACCTGGCCAACAAAGTCTCTGTTCTTTATTTGCTATTTTCCTTTGATGGACTCTTGCCTGGTAAGCAAAATACTCAGCTCATGCCCTGACCCAGAAAATCTCCTCAGGTGAGAAACAGTCAGTGGTGTCAGCTCACCTAAGAATACAGAACACACTCTGGAATTTTAACCTGTCTGGCCGCCTCATCTCACAGCTCTCTGGTATCTTTAAAAGCTGTAACTTTTAGACTTTATTCTGTTGATGCAACAGCAGTGATGTCTTGCTGCAAACTGCTACTTACTATATCCCATTGAAAAGTGACAGATTATATATTTATGAGGTTAAGTGATTATCCCAGTTTATACATCTCATAAATGGAACAGTAAATAATTCAAGAGGCTATGTGGAGATGACCTTTAGTGACAATGCCACTAACTCTATTCATTCAACTTGGCTCAGGAGGCGTGGCCAACATAACTGATTTAGGGTATATAGTTTGCAATCAAGTGGACCAGATTTTTGCTTATCTGAGAAACCCTTTATTTCTCCTTCACTTCTGAAGGATAATCTCACTGGGTATAGAATTCTAGGTTGATACTTTCATTTTCTTTTAACACTTTAAATAGCTTGCTCCGGTCTCTTTTGGTTTACATGGTCACTGATGAGAAGTGCAATGTAATTTTTATCCTGTTGCTCTGGACCCCAGAGTCATGGCAGCCCACCTGGCCAACAAAGTCTCTGTTCTTTATTTGCTATTTTCCTTTGATGGACTCTTGCCTGGTAAGCAAAATACTCAGCTCATGCCCTGACCCAGAAAATCTCCTCAGGTGAGAAACAGTCAGTGGTGTCAGCTCACCTAAGAATACAGAACACACTCTGGAATTTTAACCTGTCTGGCCGCCTCATCTCACAGCTCTCTGGTATCTTTAAAAGCTGTAACTTTTAGACTTTATTCTGTTGATGCAACAGCAGTGATGTCTTGCTGCAAACTGCTACTTACTATATCCCATTGAAAAGTGACAGATTATATATTTATGAGGTTAAGTGATTATCCCAGTTTATACATCTTATAAATGGAACAGTAAATAATTCAAGAGGCTATGT